ACCTTCGTACATTCCTGTTGTACCTTTCTCCCTGTTACATCATCAATCCAACATAAACACACAATTTTACCTTGCATGTTTCTGAACTTGACCCAGTTGGTTGTGGAAAGAAACTGCCTCTTATTTCTTTTGCGTTGATCTGTTTCAGCAGATAGATTCGTGGTATATTGGTTTTTGGGTGGCCAATCTACCTCCAAAACCCTAGATGTCAAAATGTTTGAAGTCTTTTTCCTTTGCACTTGAACTATTAGGGTATTTAAATGAACTTATATTTCTATTCCTTTTGAAGGTGATTCAAGTGCAGGTGTATGTGGTTTCTCATGTGATGATCTTCATACTTGTCAGTCTTGCTTGAGTATGAATTCTTGCATGTGGTGTAGCAACCAGCAACGATGTATAGATTCCAACTCGTACATTACATCTTTCCCTTATGGACTGTGCTGGGAATGGCATACTGGTATCCAGAACTGCCCAGGTTAGTTGTGTCTCTTGATATTGTTGTATTACATTATAATAATCCTCTTATCTGAAATGACTAGTGTATATGTATCCATTGACAAGATGAGGGTTTAGATGAACTGCTACTTTTTTGTTCATTTTCAGTGACGAACTGTTCATTGTATCTGACATGTGAACTGTGTCATGAAGATCTTCATTGTGGATGGTGTGACTCTGGTGATATGACTGGTATTGGTACATGTAAAGAAGGCAGTGCAACTGGACCTATCAAGCTAGATGATGCTGGTAATGCAGTTGTTGACATGGGTCTGTGTCCAGCTGAGAGTTGGTTCTTCTTTGACTGTCCGTGTGAGTACACTACTCTGCCTTCCATCAAGTTAGTTTTAAGATGTTGTGCACAATTCTAAAGGCTGTTATTGTTTGGATTGTCAGAGTGTATAATAAGGGGGCTGTAGAAATCCATTCATGCATGCTTATGAGTTGGTTAATCATTGCTTGCCACATTAACAACACTGAGCTGTCATGTAGTAGTATTGTCTGTGCTCAGAAAAAGTGCCCATTTTTGACAAGCTACCACAGCTCTGTTGATTGAATTCTATAATGAAAAGATGATACATTAGAAAAGGAGATTTTTTTTTCTCCTGAAGAACAGTGTTGTTGAGGTAGCAGGTAGGGCTGTTAGTTCTGAAGTTGAAAAATTGCATGCTGAGAGCAGCACAGCCACATTTAGTGTTGTAACTATCTGTTATTGCATCCTGATGTTAGGTATCATGTTTCTGTTGTGTACACCTGGTGGGTTCTGTTGTCACCCTGATGTAGTTTCCTCTAATAGTAATGGACACCTCCAAACAATCAAAGCTTGCTAAATGCAGGTTTTGCATGCATCCATGCTGAAATGAAATATGTTACCTATATTACGGTAGCTAGTTCCCCACTGTTTGTGTAATTTTTTTACCATTTAGTAAAAATGATTTGCGCTATTCTTAATGCAAAGTTTCTAAAGTCAAGAGAAACAGGTATTTGTTGGAAATAAACTCTTCAAATAAAATTAGTGGAGGTATTCACAGTCAAAATATTCATTATATTGATTAATATTAGCAGAAGTGTTTGTGTGTGCAAAGCAGATTTTACACGTACATGTACAGTATGTTGCTGTCAGGAAGAACTACATCAGTTTCACTTCTGCCTTTCTGACAATTTTTTCGTTAGGTCCATCCATTCTCCTTCCTTCCACTAGTAAAAGTACTTATATGTGTAAGGTATAATGTTAATTGAACAACATAAAAATGTTAATCACTCCATGCATGTTAATCCTGGTGATCTTTCTACTTTTTCCATACCACTGGCTAATGTATTCACTAAAGTTTGGAATTGATGATTGTGAAGAACATCAGGAGATTGATTCAGAACAAGTACATACAAGAAACCCATCAGTAACCAGAGAATCTTTCACATCATGATCAAGTTCGCTTCCTTAACCCTAATCCCTAGGTTGTGTGGAAAATTAGAGGATTCATGACAAGAAAGCTTAAATTTATTTTCCTTCATTCGCACCCTCTCATTTGAGAAAAAATAGAGTACAGATAGAGTATGGACACCCAGTTAGTATGCTTTTGATATTCAGTAGACAGAAAATAATCTCTAGAATAATCAAAAAGTAAAGTGTGGATAACAATGATACACGATACAAGCTTGTATTGTTGGAGGTGATTTTGTCGAGTGGGTGTTTTAAGTTTGCAGTTTTATTTTCGGTTATCCCAATATCCATTTGTTTGTTTTTGTTTTGTTTCCTCTCTCTTTACCCAGCATGCCAGTGTAATGGACACAGTCGGTGTGTGAATGATACATCAGTATGTGAAAACTGCCAGAACAATACCACAGGTATTCACTCTGAAAACAGCCCAGTATCCTTGCAAGAAATCATACCTTATATTTTCTTTATTAATGAAGATGACATTTTTATTGGTGTTCCGGAAAATATTATGGGGACCAGAACTCAGTCCCAACTTACGTAACAAAAGAAATTGTTCCCTTACAAAAGCACACTAACAGATTCGTTTATATTCTGGGGTATGTCCTTTGTTCCCATAAACAAAAATTAGTTTGTGAAAAGCAGTTTTCAAATTGCTTCCATTTGAACCAAAATCACTTCCCAGAGTTGAAATGTCAACCAGATATCCATTGTCTAAAATTCATCAATTTGTGGTGAAAAAAGTATACCTTGGAAATTTCCCCTTTTTAGGTCCATTCCAAGTTTCTTTTTGTGAAATCCTTGTGGGTACCACTGAACAACCCTACATCAGTCTCATGGGGGTACCAGACTTCCTATTCTCCCAAAAATCAGATTTAAGAGGCGTGTAGTATGGTTGTTATGTGAATATTTTTGACGTTATTCTTATATAGGTCCACAATGCGAAACCTGTGCAGAAGGTTACTATGGTAATGCATTAAATGGCGGTAGCTGTACACCCTGTCAGTGTAACAATCATGGAACCAGGTGTGATAGTTCCAGTGGAAGATGTCAGTGTAATACAAAAGGTGTTATTGGACCTACATGTGACAGGTTAGTCATTTTTTGTACATGAGTGCTATCACAGGAAAATATTGTTCAAAAACTCTGAGTTCAATCGTTTATTTTTTGCATCATTCTGTGATATGATTCTTCCAGGTAATAATCTATTGTTCCTATTCCTTCATGCAGCTGTGACATTCAACAAAACTACTTTGGCAACCCTCTGAGAGGAACTTGTTTCTGTAAGTACTGTAACTTTGCTTTTCTTCAACTGTCTGCTTTGGTGGCTCTGTGTCTCTGACTCAAGTGCTAATTTATTGAAGAACCAGTGAAATAAATTCATGCAGTCACCAAGCCTCTGGGTTGTGTGAGAATAATGTGAAATACTCTTAGATTTAATTCCATTACATTGGACCCTGAAGAATAACAACAGTAAAGCTGAGGACTACATGTACATAATAACATGAGTCAAAATTTGTTCAAAGGCAAACAGAAAAACTGAAATCTAACATGTGACAATGTCATGTAAACCTGCAAAAGCTTATCTGCAATTTATGTGAAAATAGTTTGGACTACAATGATTATACATATATCTGTGAAATTATTATTATATTATGTAATATTATTGTTATTAATTGATTTTTTTTCTGTTACAGATAACTTAACCGTGAATTACCAGTACACTTTCAACCTGTCTTCCAATGATGATTTATACCTGACAATGATCAACCTAATGACTTCTCCCGGAGTCAGCAATCGTGACATGGAGTTTGAACTTCGTGTTAGCAAAGCCATTAATATGAACATCACATTTAGATCCAGTAAGGATTGGGAACATTACCTTCATTAAGTGTTAATTGCATCAATGTAATTGAAAAACAAATTACACGTTAACCTTGGTAGTAATTCACTAGTGTAAAGTTAAAAGAAGCAAAATTGAGTATTGTAAGTAAACAGCATGTATACATTCATGTACGTATATATCAACAAAAAATGAGGGTGACATGCAGTATGGTTGAGGTAGAGTTGTAAAAGATTGATGTTAGACATGAGTATTGTAACAGTCACATTTCAATTGAAAATTTTAAACTGCCAAACCCAAAAAACCCAATCCTTTTTCTTTTTTTTCTATTTTTTTTGACACAGATAGCATACCTGGCATTGAACATGAGATTGTGTATAAAGCAGACATCAGCTACTACAGTGCCACCTTCTCAAGTTCAGATTTCAATTTTGAAGAAAATGCTAACACGACCTTCTTCGTCTACATCTCTAACTTCACTACGCCACTGTCATTCAAGGTAGTGTACTCTCAGAAAGCTTGAAGAATAAATCTGTTGTAAAGATTCCACATTGCAAATATTCAAAAACAGTTAGCTCTTTGTTTTCATTTCTGCTCCATGCAAATCTTAATTTTTTTTCAGGAATTATGGAATTTATGAATTATTAACAAGGAGCATGCCGATACATGTACATTATTAAGCGAATGTTACCCAGTTACAAGGCATTTGTGGAACGTTTAATGGTTTTCAATGTATTTTAAATCCTTAGACTTTACCTTTCTGCACTAGAAGTATATTGTTGATATAACCCTTTGCCAGACATTTCAGAATACTGAACAAATTAGTTCTATTGGGATGTTACACTGATGCCCCTGGTATTACATGTACTTTGAATATCTATAAGTGTTACATGTACAGTGCGCACCAAATAACACCTAAATTTTCAACACCACTGTTAAGTGCTGGTGTGGTCCTCTGATAGAACCGAGGGTGTCGGGTTTGAAACCCCAGTTTTTGCAGTGTGGTGTACTTGTTGTTTAATCCATATTGTCTTTTTAATCAACCTCCCCAGCAGGGTTCCTGCAGCCCTTTATCTTTTTTATCTTTTTATCTTATTTGGTACACTATATTTTGTTACTTGTGTTTTATGTAAATTGCCTGAATTGTATATTAGCAATAATTCAGCCACATCTTATGGCTGCGAATGCTAATTACTTAATAAATCAATATTAATAATTTAAAATAAAGATATTTTCCACAAAGCTTACACGCAACTGATGAATATTAGATCAATAAAAGCATTCATATATACAGGACTGAGGTTGTATAAAGCAAGAAGTCAGAAATGATTTCTACATGTGTATTATTTATCTTCTTTCTTGTCTCTATTCAGCAGATGGAGTGAGACATCTAGTGATCAGCCCACATCTGCATCTTTTGAATTGTTTTCATAATGACCTTATTGGGTTCTCCCCCTATATGGCAGTGTTTTCTTGCCATATGAAATTTAATTTCACATAGCATCAACAGAAGCATACATCATCCTAATATATACCGTTTACCTTATAGGTTTGTAGTCCACTGGTAGGCTCAGCACCGGAGTCTGATTCAACATTGTTCAACATTCAAACTGAAAGATGGACCATCAATTAGTGAATTTGATCTCCATTCATCCAGTGATGAAGTCGTGATTTTTCCAGCTCTTAAGAGTGTAAATTAATGTCGGGTCTTATTCTCTTGCTAAAGCGTGGGTCATCATCTTGTCTTTCAATGTGTATTACAAATTTAATCTACATGTATATCCCAACTTTGTGTAACACTCGGTTTCACTGCTACTGTTTCCACGACAAGTTCTAACATTTAACTGAAGCTGCTTTGTTTCTGTAATGAATCTTACAACAGGTGACATTCGAACAAGGGAATGATCTGAACCTGGTATTTTATGTTCTCTTGTATTTCATCATCACCCTTGTTATTCTTCTGAGTGTGGTGGGGTTAGTTTGGAGGTTTTACCAGCTCTACACGAACCGAGTGATAGCACAGGTATTGTGTACAAAAGAAACCTTTAGCTTATAATGAAGTTGCTGAAACTGTCAGTGCATTGAATTATATTAATGCTGTGTCAAATTGGAGCTGAAAATAAATCTAGAAACTGGTTGAACTGAGAATGGTTGATGACAGTAAATACACGAGATGCATGAATGGCTCATGCATTGCTTTTGAAGACTGTTGCATGCTATAACCATGCTAAATTGAACCAAAAAAATGAACATGGGCAGCTCACAGAGGAATGCAAAGGAATGAAAACTGATGTTTTTGCTCGGTTCTGGCTGTGGTATTTGACGGATAGAGTTTCAGTCCATTTTGTTGCTCCGTAAGGCACAGTTCAGTGAACATGAATGCTGAGTGACCTCTCAGGTGAGTATGTCTGAATATCACTGATAAAAGTGATTCAAGGCCCTTACATATGCACTGATTCAGGTAGGTGTGTCATGAGATTGCTTTACCTTCTCAAAATCACTCTGTGCTACTTCCTAAGGTAATCTCTGAAAATATGTAACAGGTCAGCTGCTGTACTTATTTATACTAACTTTCTTTTATACATGTACATGTATGTCATACCTAAGAACTACATGTATGGAAATGATGAGAAATGATTTATAGGTCAGTGGGATATCACAAGCTGTGTTTTACTTGTTCTGGGATTATTTTAAAGGTTATATTTAATGTGTCAGTTCACAGTGAATTTAGGAAAGATTTGACATTTTCCATCCTTTTCGTAGCACTTATCATTGTTCTCGAAAACTTTCCAGAAATTTTGTCACATTGAGCAAATCAATATTCGAGTTTAGTTAGAATGTTATTTTTTTTTTAATATTCTTGCAAGCATATACATTATACACCCCGTAGTAGATGTGCATTGTACATGTAACTAAAATTACTTTTGCAGCCTGCAGCTTCCGTGTCAAAGTGTACAGTTTTCCTGATGATGCTAGTTCCAGTCAGTTTCCTACATGCATGCATATTCACGATTATTTGTTATCAAGCAAAATGTATTAAAGGTATGAGTTTCTTTTCACAGAAGTTTCACATCAGTTTTATAAATGTTACTTCAAGGAGACATCAGTGAGAGCCAGTAATTCTATGAACGATTCTAACAAATGTATACAGTCTTTGACTTCTTTACAGGTGCATCTGGATGTTTGCTTTCAGAGTTGAAGAGATTAGGCTCATTTGTCTAATGAATACATGTATTTAGTATCAGTGTGTCAGATAAATCATTCTGTCAAGTGGTTTATTTGTTTCTTAACATGTCTTTTAACAAGCATATTTCTCCCATAACACAAGTCGCAACATAACCAAACTTTGCAGGTGTCAGTTCAGCAACGACTCTTTCTTTTGAATCTGCTGGAGTTTCTTGTGGTCTTCTTCAGCTGCTTTCTATCATTTCTTCTCTTCTTCGTGGTTGGTTGGAAAGTCAAACAACGATGGGACAGTTTTCGTCGTCAACAGGTAACACAAAGATGAAGTCCGTCCAGGTGACCAGCCCTTACACTGTCTCCCTCACCACCCTTCTGTTATGCAGGCATAGTATCTAACTTGGTGTTCCGGTTGGCGAATTAATTTGATTTGTGTTTCTATTTCTAGTGTTGGTGTGCATTGTGGTGACTGGAATGCTAATTGCACAGGTTTATGTTCAATCTCAGTGTTGACATGTCAAAGTTAATCTTGTTCGGTTTCTCTGGTTTTGTTCTTGTAAATGTTTGTAAGTGGCTGCAAATATTTTGTGGCTATATTTTTCATGCAGTAAGATAGAATTCCTTTTCCTCATCTGTTGGTCAGGATTATATCCAAAATATGTAAATATTTACAATTTGGCAGCAATTGCAACTGAGAGCTGCAACTCTGAAATGTGCCTTATTTTGTGGTAATTTTATCTCATCCCTATTTCTGTATTTTTCCAGAGAAAGTTAGCAGTGTTGATGTTTGGCATGTCCGTTATCATTAGGATGCCTGTTGTAATGCATGGAGGTCTAATCAAATGTTTTGTGTCTCTTTTCCCCTCTCTTTCTCTCCCACTCAATCTGTGTACTTCCCTTCCTTGTCTAACCCATCTGTCGTATGTCCAATGATTCCTCTCTATCCTGTGTCCTTTATTTTTGTCCAATCATTGTCTCCATCTTCCTATTTTTTCCCCTTTCTATTTCATATATCTGCCTTGTTGCCCCTCCCCCTTTCAATCTTTATTCATTCCATTCCTTTGCCTTGTTTTCTGCTTGGTCGCCTTAGATAACATCCTATCAGCGTTCATTTGACCTTGTGACTGTGCTTGTGTCATTCTTTGTGTGTTTTTTCGTAATCATCATACTTTTTGGAACTTTCCTGAAACTGAAAGACTACTGGGATCGGTATCACCGAAGAAGGGTAAGCAGTAGTGGTCATTGTAGTTGTTTAGTTGTGGTTGAATCATCGATAGTTTTTGCGTCAAAATCACGACATGAAATCATGCACCGATGTTCAAGTTGATATTCAGTCATGGATCATTTTGTATTTTTGTGATCTCTGAAGCATATGATCATTCATTTTGACTAAGACATAAAACTGTGTTTTGCTCCTCATCATTCTGAAGTAGCAGTTTGTATCTTGAGAACTTTGCTCTAATTATTTCCTGTCTTTGAATACTGCAAATTGGCAATTCACAGATTCTTTCAACAAATGTGCACTGCCATTAAAGTCATCACCTCCAGAACAACCAACCTGTTTCATTGTTTATTAAAGCAGTCATCCCCAGATATGTTTGGATCAATGATTGAATTCATCGTGAATAAGAGTGCTGCTTTATTGAACATTTTTAGACTGATTTAATTACGGTTCAGTAAAAGGTAGGTTTAAAGTATAATAGCTTTCACCCAGTTCATTCTGTTCTCCACTTGCCCACAAATACCACTGCATTAAGTTTGTCTAATCTCTCAACTGTGCTACTTTGAATGAGGATTTTGTCTTTCAAACAGACTGGTTTCAGTAATTTGGGGTTGTAATGTGTGTCTGTAATCTACAGACTACATGTAGTTTTGTATGACGGTCTGCATCTTGTGTGCTAGTTCTTCAATCTGTCACTTGTCACAGCATGCTAGTTTGTCTGTGTAATATGCATTTACTGTCATCAGTGTACTCATCAAGCAGTTTCTATTCTTTGGTTATGATGTGTAGTGCATGGATCATTTTCAAATCATTTTTCATAAAGTTCAGAAAACTGAAAAGGCTAGAGGGTTCAGGGAGAATGCTCTCTTTTAAGAGCTTTCATCGGCAGGATTATAAATTGTAAACTCTACATTACGTGAAATAATTGTATGATGAAAATGTTGAATACTGTAGAACAGATGCCAGGAATATACTTGTAGTGTTCAGAACTATTTAGGTTGCATACTGCAGTCATTAAGTGGAATGATTAATCCTTGTGATGTTACGTGATTCAGTTTAATACACGTATTTGTGTGGCCAGCTCCTTGAGTAGCAAAAATCCAGTTTGTTCAAATTGGAAGGAAAAGAACCGAAAATGATAAGGTCAATAGATGCTGGCTAGTCAAGGCATTGGCTCATAATGATGATTATCATTACTGGTTATTCTATTTCCTCAGAATCGTGCGGTCGAGTTGGCTGTAATGGCAAGACGTCCTTTTGCAACTGTGAATCTTGTGATTGAAAATACTGTGCCACCAGACATTGTTGTTGGAACAAAGAAAGTAAGTTATCAGATGTTTGCATTATAGTGTGCTTTTATGTGTACAGTCGAACACGAATAACACGAGCATGCTTGAGACAAGATCGTGCTTAAGACGAGAGCATATTTCTTCAGTCCCGTTCAAAATGTACACATTCCTATGAGAGAAAACTTTCTTAATACGAGCTATGCTAAGACCCAAACACGGACAAGACAAGCCCTTTTGCCTAACTGACAGTGTCAAAAACCATTGTCCATGGCATTTTTAATAAGAGTACAATTGAAAAGCGTCTTCAAAAACTTAATCCCAGTAAGTAATTCCAAAAATGCTAATCCGTTCAGCAATTTGCGTATTTGTTAATTCAGTTTTTATAAATAATTAAAGAACATGGATTCAAACAAAAAAGAAAAACACAAACATTCAAGGTTTGGAAAGACTCCTCATAAGAATCTAAAAAACAGGAGTGGCCCAAGAAAAGCTTCATGTAACTGCAGCAGAAGTGTAGCGAAAACGCTTTCCAGCTTTCATCAAACACTGCCATGAAAATGATCCATTGATTTCACAGTTTTTGTCAGGAGAATCCATGTATAAATAAATCCAAAAGATATATCCAACTTCTACTTTTCTCTCTTTTATTGTTTTTCCTTCTTCTAGAAACACCCTCTTGCTATCTCCACAGCGAACTGCTCTGATAACAAGGCACAAGTAGCCACTATTTTTATGCAAATGCCCATGCCAGATGATGGCAAGGTTCCTTTTGGTCAGTCAAGGTTTTGTTTGGCATCAGCTCTTGTCCAAATCAAAGCAAAGAAAGGAGAACGGCGTAATAGCCATCAGAAGGCAGAGATACCAGAACCAAGATCAGAAGGCAATCTGAATAATGCATGTAGCACTCTAAATCCACTGCATGATAACCATGATTCTACAGAGACTGCTCAGAGAGAACTAGTTGACTGTCCAACAAGGCCAGCATTGCATGTAATCCAAAACCATTTCCCAGCATCATATGATAATGCAGCTATGGTATAAACTGTGCTTGCCTTGTAAAAGACTGGTAGACTCTCAGTACATCAAGTTGTCAATTTTGTGCACAAACAAATCATTTTATTTCTCTCTTGAAGGATTATAGTAATGCTTACTGTAGCAAGAAAATGCAATTGCATTATGTTAAGCTTAAAAATTGATTTAGTTTCTGTTGTACGGGAGTCTACCTGACCTGTCTTAGCAACCGTGTGAAATTTTCCTCTTAGTAACAAAAAATTCTATTTTCTATAAATGATTTTTAAGATTTTTAAATTGTTAAATGAGAGCTTTTGTAGTGATATGAAATCAGTAAACCTTTCAATCCAGACATGGATAAACAAACATTGACACGGACCTTGTGAAGCGCATGTTCATGTACTCACTTCTCCACCAATTTTTCAAGCAATTTGGTTTTTGTATAATTCATCTAAATTGCATTAATAATGTAACAGATCATATGTACTTAAACCAGCAGCTCATGAATATGGAACCTGACTTGTTTTAAAGCCTTCTTGCAGATACAGTGATACTATTGATTGCCTAATTTGCCAAATTTTGGAACTTTATAAAAACAGAACCCACAAGTTTCGTAACAGTCAAATATTTGTATTGCATGTAGACAGATTTGTATCCATCACAGAAGAGTTTAGAAAAATTATCTAAAGTGATTTTTAAGACACACGTGAAAGTGATTAAACAGCTCTTGAGCACTTGTGGTGTATGTGATCTTCATGTATCCTTAACTAAGGACAGAATTTTCAGAAAGCACTTGTTAAATTTTGAAAGTAGTGTCTGAATTTTGGGTTGAATTAGGTGAGATGTACATGGGTGGTAATACATGTATCATTGATGTACATGTACAGGTTTAATACCACTCAAAATCCAAAATTCAAACCGTCAAATCCAAAACCTCCAAATTTTCCTATTGAGTTAACTACAGCAAATGGGATGTTGTGTGCAGTGAAACAGGTAGTTGTCAGTTTGTTGTGTGTGCATTTCTGGCTTGTTACTGAATAGAATTATGTCCATAGGAAGTCATTGTTACACTGCTGCTTTGTCTAAGCTGGATCTGAAACCACAATTATCTATGTTGACATGCACATACATGGTACAGGCAAAGCATGTTCATAAATCAATCTTTGGAGGGTTGGGCCTTTAACACAGAGAGGATCAATATAGATACGGGTTACGAATCTAGTGAATTATTGCTAAATGTCGTGAACTTTCCTGTGGGAATATTCGAGTATGAAGTAGATAGTAGCACCATTAACTTAGAAAAGAAGTTTTGATTCAGAGATGCTTGATATGTTAATTTAGAATTGCAAAGAGTTCGGGTTCTTTAAACCTGTGCTTTGCTTGTCATTTAAACATCAGTACTACATGTATAGTAAAGTCCTTATGAAAAGAGTATTTTTGAAGCACGTGATCTTTTGAATGGGTGGCAGTGGAATTTATGGAATTTTCAAGCTGAAAATGCTGCCAAATTCTTTAGTTTGTTAATTAGAAATTGATAAATTCTAGTATGGTACATGTAATGCAAAGTGAAAGTAACACATGGGCATGCTTAGCAAATATACATGTACATGTATGCTCTAGGTTTCATTAGAAATACATGTATTAGCAGCAACAGGTACACAGCATCTAACAATTGCGCACTTTCTTGATTCTTACATGCTTTGGATTTTGAATCAGATTTTGTCCAGTGCATTGGTTGTTTGTAGTGTACTTATTTTGTCGTGTTGTAGCACTGATTGTGTTGGATAAATATCCAGTGGAACAAATTCAATCTGTACATATAAGTAAATGGTTCAACTATTCTACTGAAAACTGCAGAACTACATGTTGAACTACATGTACGTGTACTTAAGCATTTATTAAAATGGTACCTGTAGGTGGAGTTTGGGCCAAGGTCAAATTGTCAGCAATCTTGAGAAAGTATCGGAATGTCTATAAATATTGAAAGAAATTTGTGTGAATATTATTGAAGCTGGTTAATTTTATAATTTGGGCAACAGATGTACATGTATATACATGTATAAATGGATGAGTAAAAACTGAAAGTATGAGGTAAAATTTCACTTGAGAGTGAAGATTCTGTGAAATTCCTCATGTTTAGCCACACAAATTTTCCTCAAAAACTGTTACACTGAAAAAGTGGTTGTTAATAGTGTACACTTGAAACACAAACTACAAGCTGAGAGCAGAAATCAAATTACATTTTCTCCTCCGACTTTTATTCACCTGCAGAACCTCAATACAATGTATACAGTATGAATCCCTGCGCAGTGGTCTTAACAAAATACTCAGTGGAGATAAAACTTAATGCACATCATCTTCTATTACTGTGCGTTACTTTTGGTTTAGCTTTTCCTCTCACATGTATAAAGTAAATATTGAATTAGTGTAAAATCTTGATCTAAGGTGTGTTTATCATAATGGATTCATTTGTATAAGAGGCAAGAATTATTTTGTATAAATTGTGCAATTTATATGAAAAGTAAAATAAAAATTATTAGAAAGAAACTTCTGCGTATCTTTGATATGCGGAGGACTGCTTCCAACAGAACAACACTCTCTACTCTGCAGGATCTCAACAGTTTATTTCTGTGTATTACCATGACTATTATTGCAAGCCCCATGCTCTGAAACAGAGATTGGAGATGGCTTTTCTTATCTTCTTAAATTCTCCAGAACCTGCTGATGCATTTTGAAGGATGTACATGTTTAAACCAGCTACATCTTAACATTATCTACATGTACAGGTTAAAGCATACATGTGCTCACAATTAAACTTTGTTTCATGTGAACATAGTCCATTGTGTAGTAAAAAGAAACTCTTTACAACCAACTTTTAGTGTGTTTTTTTTTTTCAAAAGGCAGGATTAGAGTGGAATGTTCCCAAACAACACATGTTGAGGGATGCTGTACTATACTACAAGTCTCTAATGTTTATAGGATGTATGTTAAGTGTTGTCACACAAGTATGCAGCAACTTCCACTACAGACATCAGACAAGTTGTATCGTATGCAAAATTATGTTCATGTAGTCCACTTTGCTTGAAGATAAATTTCTTGAGTTTTACTCAGGGAAAGCAGAACAATGTGCCTGATGACATTCAGGAACAGATGCCACAGTTTCAGGTGTTCAACAAGGCAAGCAGAAATGTAATACACGTACATCATTAACTTGTAAGCAGATATGTACAAAAAATGTAAGAATACATGCACATGTATACATACCATTACATGAAACCTTTAAAAGTAAACTACACATGCCTATAGTGGGATGTTTCTCTATCAGTCTGAGCTGTCTTTTTGGATTTTCCAAATTATTACTGTCTACTTACTTGTGATGGAGAACCAACACAGAGTAGCTGATCCGTTCAAAGTTTGGATCATGAAAGAATGTACAGAAACTGCTGCATGCAGTAGAAACCAAGCTGATACCATTTATCATTTTGTGATGTCACTTGCACACTCAGGAAGTTGGGGTCTGGCAACCATGTTAAAGCTGATGAGAAACTTGTCTCTGGCACTTTATTTCATGGATTACATGTATGTTTATGTACGTGTATGTGCCGGATGGCACTTTCCACATTCATATCCAGAACTCTGTACTACTCTACACATGCTTACACATTGAATAGATATTCTTGGCAAATGTACACCTTGCTTTGGTCCAGAAGAGAATTCCAAGAATTTTGACTATCAGCAACTCCATGTTTACCTCTGAGGTGTGTCTCCCAAAGAATCGGAGTCAGAATTCTGAGCATGGGAAAGAACAGAGACCTGATGTCAAAGATTAACTCGGACCACTACTGAATTTCCTATACATGTAAGTTGCAATATCTGTGATATGTTCATTCCTGAGATTGGGTACCATATCAGTGTAGAATTATTTAGGAAATTATTGATACCTGCCAGAAATCTATAGAAGTGTTTCTACTACAAAGCATGGCACATTCACTGAAGACAAATGTCAAAGATATTTGGGGTTAGTTTTCTGAGTGACGATTAAACAGATTTCCCACGTGTGTTGCTAAAATTTGCAAGTACTGATACTAAATCAACCCTAATCATACCTCTGATTCACCATCAGAACTCTGCCCACCAAAGCCCGAGGGTGGTGATCCTTCAGCCCCGCCCCTCCATTCATCCTCTGGGTCTCCCGTACCACCATCCACTCCCTCAAGATCACTAACTGCACCACTATCAAGACTCAAGCTATGGAGAGACGGAATGACATCATCTCCATCACCCTGTTCATCTGGTGGTGAGAAGAGTCCAAGAGCTTCTTCCTCAAGCATGTCTTCAAAACATGACTCAATAAACTCTTCTTCAAGAATCTGTTCCATAACCTGAAAGAGAAAAGGGCAAATCAAATGTAATCATCGGTCATCCTGTAGTCTAAATCATCAGATATGATTGGGATGGTTTGGAATTCAATACATATTGTGGATAGCAGAAGTTTGAATTAACTGTGCTTGCTTATGGCAAGGAAAATTTGGACAAAAGTCTCAAGCTGTTGGAAGAGGGCAGGGCTGGGCACTGAGCCATGAGGGCAGGGTCAAGGGGGTGGTATTGGGTTGAGGGGTAATGCTGGGTACAGGAGGGAGGGGTAGGTTACGGGCCAAGGGGTATGGCAGGGTATTAAGTCAAGAGGGTGGGGCCAAGGGGGTAACACTTGAGTATTGGGTCAAGGTGTAATGCTGGGTACATGGTGGAGGAGGGAGGGCTGGGTGTTCAGTCAAGAGATGGTAGGGGCAATTAAAAAAGGTCAAGCACTGCTACCAAAAACAGGTAAAGTTTGATAAAATGGGTGGCATATGACATCTGAGATGTCTTATTCTGATTGCCGTTACACCTTAAGAAATATGTATGTACATGTATGTACTGTACCTACATGTACATGTACCTGCAGATTTATAATAGAGGGGATAAATGTGTAAGACAATAGTGGAGGGGATAAATGTAAAGACAATTGTTGCTTTTGATATGCAAGTTAATATTACAATCAGCATACAAATGAGGTACGTGTAATGTAGCTCTGGTCAAAGATAGGCTTACAGGAGATGAAATAGACATGATTGATCACCGACCTGTAAATTGACTGCATCTTCTTCTTGTGGATCTCCCATCCACATGTACTCCTCAAATGGATTATCCTGCTCACTACTTGTTGTCATGGTGATACTGTCCTTTTGTGTTTTAGTAGGATCACTTTCTGCACCACCATCACCACTCCCGGAACTTGTTTTCTCCATTAAGTGTACGGTATTCAATCACATATGGCCTTCACATTCTATCAGTGAATTCGATGACTGCATTCAACAAAATGTAATGACAAAATCAACATACATGATAAATGACAAAACATACATGATGTAGTCTCCTGTGTATGGGTCATGGCACAGTAAAGGACATGACGCATTTACGAATAAAAGTACACAACGACACCAGCAGGTTTTAATCTACTAAGTTTTATTACACAGTACTCAGATCTTAGCTTGTTCAGGAAATGTTTAATCTGTTAATAATTGCACATGCAAATTCAGTTTGGAAAATAAGGCTTGGACTTGGTTACTAGATAGACAATGTAACAAAAATATCCTGATAACCTCAGGCCACATATCCAGGCCAAGCTAAGTACATGTAGGCCCTACATGACATGACCATGGCCATGATGATGATATGGGATCTATTGTAACATGACATGAGTTGCTGTTGCCCAGCATGTTCAGGCTCTAGGCCTATACCAAGTACATGTATACTGTTTAATGCAAGATGACCATTATATCATTTTCTGAGACATGCAATGGTGCATTTATAAACAAAATCAAATTATGTCTGGATCCCTCTCAGCATCTTCAGCAAATACCATAAACAGACCTAGCTAGGCCAATATGTACCAACACACACTCAACTCCATGTCAGCCGTACGTACATGTACAACATTAAGAAACCTCTGATTCATTCTTTCAATTCATGCAACTTCATTGCATTTTAGAGCTCAGGCTTTCGGAAAATTCGCAAATTTCAACAACTCTTTAAATATGCAACAAAACTGACACATTTACCGTTCAATCAGTATTTCCTTCGATAGTTTGAGCTATAGCTTATGTATGGCGCAGTATGTGCAAAAATCCAAAATCCCCGGCTGGCGATGGCATACGCAACATCTCAATATCCAGTGTGCGTGGTTCCCTGACAATACTTATTGCATAGTGAAGTTCTAGGGGATTGACGGATTGACATGATTTGGCCGAGTACCCGACTACCGCGCTCATCTGGCATTT